TCATTTCTGACCCTATAAATCATATATATTCTTGATCAGAATTAAGAGGCGAATCGATCTGGTTATGTCTGGTTGAAAAAAAAATTTTGAAATTTTTTCAATTTTTCGCAAAAACGATAAGGGGTTACATCATTAAAATTGTCAAAAATGGCGAAAATTTTATATTTTAAATTGAGTATGCAGATTGATTATCTAATAAAAACTAGCATAGGAAAGCTTTCCGAATTGAATTTAATGCATTTTTGGCTAAGTTATGAGATTTTTACCTTTTGGTTTGTCGAAAAAATTGTCCTACTTTCTGCTTAATATTTAAATTTAAATAACCATTTGCGGACGTGATAATTCAGTCACAGGCTTGCAGTGCAGAGAAGGAGTATGCAGATTTATCAACCCAGTAAAAATAATATAGAAAAGCTTTCTGAATTAAAATTAATGCATTTTTAGCTTAGTTATGAGATTTTTGCGCTTTGATATGTCTTAAAAATCGTCATATAAAATTGTGGTATTTATTTGAATTTGAGGGTATTAAGTTTCAATCGGATGCTTAAAACAACATGAAGGAGTCATTTCTGACCCTATAAATCATATATATTCTTGATCAGAATTAAGAGGCGAATCGATCTGGTTATGTCTGGTTGAAAAAAAAAATTTTGAAATTTTTTCAATTTTTCGCAAAAACGATAAGGGGTTACATCATTAAAATTGTCAAAAATGGCGAAAATTTTATATTTTAAATTGAGTATGCAGATTGATTATCCTAATAAAAACTAGCATAGGAAAGCTTTCCGAATTGAATTTAATGCATTTTTGGCTAAGTTATGAGATTTTTACCTTTGGTTTGTCGAAAAAATTGTCCTAATTTCTGGCTAATATTTAAATTTAAATAACCATTTGCGGATGTGATAATTTCAGTCACAGGCTTGCGGTGCAGAGAAGGAGTATGCAGATTTATCAACCCAGTAAAAAATAATATAGAAAAGCTTTCGGAATTAAAATTAATGCATTTTTGGCTTAGTTATGAGATTTTTGAGCTTTGATATGTCTTAAAAATTGTCATATAAAATGGTGGTATTTATTTGAATTTGAGGGTATTAAGTTTCAGTCGGAAGCTTAAAACAACATGAAGGAGTCATTTCTGACCCTATAAATCATATATATTCTTGATCAGAATTAAGAGGCGAATCGATCTGGTTATGTCTGGTTGAAAAAAAAATTTTGAAATTTTGAAATTTTTCGCAAAAACGATAAGGGGTTACATCATTAAAATTGTCAAAAATGGCGAAAATTTTATATTTTAATTGAGTATGCAGATTGATTATCCTAATAAAAACTAGCATAGGAAAGCTTTCCGAATTGAATTTAATGCATTTTTGGCTAAGTTATGAGATTTTTACCTTTTGGTTTGTCGAAAAAATTGTCCTAATTTCTGCTTAATATTTAAATTTAAATAACCATTTGCGGATGTGATAATTTCAGTCACAGGCTTGCGGTGCAGAGAAGGAGTATGCAGATTTATCAGCCCAGTAAAAATAATATAGAAAAGCTTTCAGAATTAAAATTAATGCATTTTTGGCTTAGTTATGAGATTTTTGCGCTTTGATATGTCTTAAAATTGTCATATAAAATGGTGGTATTTATTAGAATTTAAATAACCATTTGCGGATGTGATAATTTCAGTCACAGGCTTGCGGTGCAGAGAAGGAGTATGCAGATTTATCAACCCAGTAAAAATAATATAGAAAAGCTTTCGGAATTAAAATTAATGCATTTTTGGCTTAGCTATGAGATTTTTGAGCTTTGATATGTCTTAAAAATTGTCATATAAATGGTGGTATTTATTTGAATTTGAGGGTATTAAGTTTCAGTCGGAAGCTTAAACAACATGAAGGAGTCATTTCTGACCCTATAAATCATATATATTCTTGATCAGAATTAAGAGGCGAATCGATCTGGTTATGTCTGGTTGAAAAAAAAAATTTTGAAATTTTTTCAATTTTTCGCAAAAACGATAAGGGGTTACATCATTAAAATTGTCAAAAATGGCGAAAATTTTATATTTTAAATTGAGTATGCAGATTGATTATCCTAATAAAAACTAGCATAGGAAAGCTTTCCGAATTGAATTTAATGCATTTTTGGCTAAGTTATGAGATTTTTACCTTTTGGTTTGTCGAAAAAATTGTCCTACTTTCTGCTTAATATTTAAATTTAAATAACCATTTGCGGACGTGATAATTTCAGTCACAGGCTTGCGGTGCAGAGAAGGAGTATGCAGATTTATCAACCCAGTAAAAATAATATAGAAAAGCTTTCGGAATTAAATTATGCATTTTTGGCTTAGTTATGAGATTTTTGAGCTTTGATATGTCTTAAAAATTGTCATATAAAATGGTGGTATTTATTAGAATTTAAATAACCATTTGCGGATGTGATAATTTCAGTCACAGGCTTGCAGTGCAGAGAAAGAGTATGCAGATTATCACCCAGTAAAAAATAATATAGAAAGCTTTCGGAATTAAAATTAATGCATTTTTGGCTTAGTTATGAGATTTTTGAGCTTTGATATGTCTTAAAAATTGTCATATAAAATGGTGGTATTTATTTGAATTTGAGGGTATTAAGTTTCAATCGGAAGCTTAAACAACATGAAGGAGTCATTTCTGACCCTATAAATCATATATATCTTGATCAGAATTAAGAGGCGAATCGATCTGGTTATGTCTGGTTGAAAAAAAAAATTTTGAAATTTTTTCAATTTTTCGCAAAAACGATAAGGGGTTACATCATTAAAATTGTCAAAAATGGCGAAAATTGTATATTTTAAATTGAGTATGCAGATTGATTATTCTAATAAAAACTAGCATAGGAAAGCTTTCCGAATTGAATTTAATGCATTTTTGGCTAAGTTATGAGATTTTTACCTTTTGGTTTGTCGAAAAATTGTCCTACTTTCTGCTTAATATTTAAATTTAAATAACATTTGCGGACGTGATAATTTCAGTCACAGGCTTGCGGTGCAGAGAAGGAGTATGCAGATTTATCACCCAGTAAAAAATAATATAGAAAAGCTTTCTGAATTAAAATTCATGAATTTTTAGCTTAGTTATGAGATTTTGCGCTTTGATATGTCTTAAAAATCGTCATATAAATTGTGGTATTTATTTGAATTTGAGGGTATTAAGTTTCAATCGGATGCTTAAAACAACATGAAGGAGTCATTTCTGACCCTATAATCATATATAATCTTGATCAGAATTAAGAGGCGAATCGATCTGGTTATGTCTGGTTGAAAAAAAAATTTTGAAATTTTTTCAATTTTTCGCAAAAACGATAAGGGGTTACATCATTAAAATTGTCAAAAATGGCGAAAATTGTATATTTTAAATTGAGTATGCAGATTGATTATTCTAATAAAAACTAGCATAGGAAGCTTTCCGAATTGAATTTAATGCATTTTTGGCTAAGTTATGAGATTTTTACCCTTTGGTTTGTCGAAAAAATTGTCCTAATTTCTGGCTAATATTTAAATTTAAATAACCATTTGCGGATGTGATAATTTCAGTCACAGGCTTGCGGTGCAGAGAAGGAGTATGCAGATTTATCAACCCAGTAAAAATAATATAGAAAAGCTTTCCGAATTAAAATTAATGCATTTTTGGCTTAGTTATGAGATTTTTGCGCTTTGATATGTTTTAAAATTGTCATATAAAATTGTGGTATTTATTTGAATTTGAGGTATTAAGTTTCAGTCGGAAGCTTAAAACAACATGAAGGAGTCATTTCTGACCCTATAAATCATATATATTTTGATCAGAATTAAGAGGCGAATCGATCTGGTTATGTCTGGTTGAAAAAAATTGTTTGCAATTTTTTCAATTTTTCGCAAAAACGATAAGGGGTTACATCATTAAAATTGTCAAAAATGGCGAAAATTGTATATTTTAAATTGAGTATGCAGATTGATTATCCTCATAAAAACTAGCATAGGAAAGCTTTCCGAATGGAATTTAATGCATTTTTGGCTAAGTTATGAGATTTTTACCCTTTGGCTTGTCGAAAAATTGTCTTAATTTCTGGTTAATATTTAAATTTAAATAACCATTTGCGGATGTGATAATTTCAGTCACAGGCTTGCGGTGCAGAGAAGGAGTATGCAGATTTATCAACCCAGTAAAAAATAATATAGAAAAGCTTTCGGAATTAAAGTTAATTTATTTTAGCTTAGTTATGAGATTTTTAAGCTATGATATTTCTTAAAAATTGTCAAACAAAATTGTGGTATTTATTTAAGTTTGAGGGTATTATAGTTTCAGTCGGAAGCTAAAAACAATATGAAGGAGTCATTTCCGACCTTATAAATCATATATATTCTTGATCAGCATTAACAGCTATCCGAATTGAATTTAATACATTTTTAGTTAGTTGTGAGATTTTTACTCTTTTGGTTTGTTAAATAAAAAGTATATTATTTAAATTTAAATAACTATTTGATTTGTGCTTACAACGTAATGGAAGTTACTATTACTCATTAAATTAGAACCCATTTTTTGCTAGGTTCCATAATATTTTGAACTGAAAGAGATTTGTTGAGACAAAACCGGTGGCTGCCTGCGATAAGAAGCTTCAGCGGATCTCGGGGGTCAGTGTGATAAGGAGCTATGTGATTACTGCGACTGATACAGAAAAAATCGTCATGTTGATGTGATTGTTGGGCTGTTTTTAATTAGTGTCAAGGTTCTTCGGTTTTTATGCTACTTATGTACGTCGGCAGGCAGGAAATGTTTGCATTTTAATTAAACCTATTTAATCTTGTGTATTTTCCCAAAATAAAATTGACAAGTCGAATGTCAATGCCCGGCGATAGGAACAATTATGTAGACAGTTTTTATAGAAACATAAATCTAATATACTTTAAAAACAGTCGTTTAAAATGGTCTTCAGTTGTTGTTTATATGTGTATATCGTATCTAACAGATATCTTTAATAACCTTTTCTTGCAGGCTTCTATAACCAGATCGCCGGCCTGCAGTCCCGGAATGTGAGCGACTATATCGATGTGGTGCTGCGTCACACGGCACCTCCCAGCGAGCACCACATCTGGAAGCAATGGGCTCAACGTGAGATCTTCTCCTGGGACATGCAGTACTCGGCCAGTGTCCGCAATGTGACGCAGGGTCTGCTGGAGCTGAGTAACCTAATCCTGTACCGCGCTCCCGTCATCTTCTCCATCCGCCAGTCCTACCGCTCGACACCAGTTTACCTGTACACTTTTGACTACCGCGGCGAACACCACCGCTTTGGACATCTGAATAATCCCCTGCCCTTCGGTGTGGATGCCTCACTGAGCGATGACAGCGTCTACTTGTTCCCCTACCCAGTGGAGGCCAGTCGCTTGAATCCCGTCGACAGGTCCCTGTCCCGTGCCCTGGTCACCATGTGGGTGAACTTTGCGGTTACTGGAGTGCCCAACCCGAACTCTGGAGTGTGGCCACGAGCCACGTCCGAGTATGGACCCTTCCTGCGCTTCACCAACAACCGCCAGAATATGCTTGAGCTGGATCCACACTTCGGAGAGGGAATCAACTTGCCCAATATTTACGGAGAGTACTTCAATGCCACCACCAGCAGCAGTGGATCGGTTGCACCACCGACCAGACCCTACACATATCCAACATATCCAACCTATCCCACTACTACCACCACCACCACGACCACGACCACAACTACCAGGCGTCCGTACGCGTATAATCCCTATGCCAACTGGCAGAACAGGCAACCGCAACAGACTTGGCGTCCAGCAAATCCAGACTACGTGAGAGCTCAGGAGGAGCGGCAGGCGCAGTTCATCCGGGATCAGCAGTTGCGGGCACAGCGGGAAAGGGAGCAGCGTTGGCGAGAGCAGCAGCAGCGGGATAACCAGAATCGTCGTCCAGCACAGGATCCTCGAGAGCAACAACGTCAAGAACACGAGCAACAACAACGAGAGAAGGCGCTGCAAGAACAACAGCGTCGCGAACAAATACTGCGAGCGCAACAACAACGAGAGCAATATGAACGTGAGCAGCGAGAGCGTGAGCAGCGAGAGCGAGAACGGGAGCAGCGAGAGCGAGAACAGCGAGAGCGGGAGCAGCAAGAGCGAGAACAGCAAGAGCGTGAGCAGCAAGAGCGAGAGCAACAAGAGCGAGATCAATCAGTACGCGATGAAAACCCAAATAACGAACTTGAACCCTATCCCAGCTATGATGACTATCTCCGAAATCACCAAGACCAGTCTTCTGAATCTACACCCGATCGTGGTTACGACGAGGAGCTGCAGAGACGTGAGCAGCAGGCACGGGAACAGGAGGAGCGACTCGAGGAAGAGCGCTTGCAACAGGAACGAGAGCAGCAGGAGCGGGAACAGCAGCCGGATGAAAATTCCGACGATGATCGACAATCCTATCCCAGCTACGAAGATTACCTTAAAGCGCAGCAAGGAGAAAATCCTCCAGATACGGAACCAGAGCGTAACTATAACGAGGAGCAGGACCGCGAGCAACAACTCCGTGAGCAGCATGAACGAGAGCAGCAGGAGCGTGAGCAGCAGGAGCGTGAGCAGCAGGAGCGTGAGCAGCAGGAGCGTGAGCAGCAGGAGCGTGAGCAACAGGAGCGAGAGCAGCAGGAGCGTGAACCCCAACCTGACAGTGATGATCCGCGTAACTATCCAGCTACGATGATTATTTAAGAGCTCACCAAGCCAGGCAACCAGCCGAATCCGATTTCGATGCGGAATTACAGGATCGGGAAGAGGAGCGAAGGGATCAGGTAGATCAGGAGCAAGAAGAGCCACTTGAGGAGAATCCGGAAGACTCTGAAGACCAGGAACCTTCCGATCCGGCCAACGATCCCAGCTCCTATCCAAGCTACGAGGATTACGTGCGTGCCCAGCAAAAGATGCGCGAGGAGGAGGAGGAACGTGACAGAGCCCTCGAGGCACGAGAGAGGGCCGAAGAGGAGCAGGAAGAGGCCCGTCAGGAACATCCAGGATATTCACAGTTCAGGAGCCTGGCCAACGGACCACAGCACATTAAGCTCATGCACAGACACCAGCGACGCAGGCATTAAATAATACCAATCCCGTCTTTTAATTTCTTTTAAAACACTCTTTTTATATTAAAATAAACACAATATGAGCTATCTGTACTAATTTTGTACCTGTCGAAGCTTTCTTCTTGAGCTATATAGCACATATGTATATGATTTTGAAATTTAATTTGCATACACTTCACATGGTTATTTTTTAATAATTTAATGAGCTCTATTTCACTAAACAAACGTGGGCAATAAATACCAATGTTATTTTGTGAGTTTAACCTGTGGGATAATAAGTTCTAAAATTCTAAATCTAGTTCTAAGTGGAGCTACTTAAAAAAATCGTATCTTGTTCCGGCTGGGCCGCTTCACCAGACTCTTCCGACCTTGGAGCTTTTTTATCCTGCTGGCGGATGAGGTCGCCAATGCTTTTCGACGCTTGGCCAGCGCCTGCTTCCGGCTGCGGCTGCGCAGATAATAAATCTCACGGACCAGGCTATGGCCTTCATCCTCGTCCCGCAAGGTGGCCGAGAACTCGGTAAAGTAATTGCCTCCAATGGTCAGAGTCTCATCAATCTTCATATAGGGACCATAGAGCGTGGTCATGGGTGGCCAGTAGCCAGAGCGATAGGAACCAAGCGGATTTCCAGTAATGACAAAGTTCGTCCAGAGATCGACCATGCGGCGAGCCATGGTCACATCCGGTGGACTAAGGCGCTTCACATGGTCAGGGTAGGGAAAAAGATAGAGAGCCTCATCGGTTAATGAGACTCCTGCCCGGAAAGGACTCTGCATATTGGTCTCCTCATCCATCTCCTTATACCGATTAAACTCGCCGGCATATTCGAAGGAGTAGAGGAAGGTGTTGTGCGGATTATGCTTGTTGTTCATATTCAGAGCCAACAGAACGGGCAGCTTGTGGTTCAAAGTGCCAGCCACCTAACACATAAGATTTAAAATTAATTTTAAAATCAAAATCATAGTTTTACCTTCGTTCTGAATAAAGGAATATAAAAGGCATTACTTACATCAATAAGTCTAGGGATCAGGGTATGAAAGGTGCCATTTTCCAGCAGATGACGATTGAAGAAATCATGGGTGACAAAACTGGTAAGGAGCATGGTCTTATCCGTGCCCACCACTTGGCGTATCACATGGTCGATATAGTTGTAGGTATTATACTCATCATCCGGTATCTTTCCCTCAAAATCGTTGTCCACAATCTCGTTGAGCACTCGAGTTCCAGCGTTTTTTGGGCACCCTCCCATAGCCGGATAAGAGAAGTTGGACTCCAGCATAAGGTCATAAGGATGCTTTGGCAACACACCACTAGGTCCACCAATTGTAAACTGAATGCCACCAGTGTGTCCAATTCCCAGGTCTGATTTCTCGAGCTACCAAAATAAATTGTTAGACTTTTTACCGATTTATATATACAAGAACTTACAGCATGCTCCATAAAGGCGGTAAGCAACTCCATAGCCGTGAGATCCATGAGACAAGAGTTGAGATCACGAACCGTCACCATTTGGCAATCGGCCTTCTGGCAATCTCGTGGGCATGTTTCCGGGGATCCTCCTCCAGAAAGATGGGCATAATAGCGGATCCCGAGTGATAAATCACCTGGCTAAATAGACCGCGCTGTACCATCGGCGAGAGTGTGAGCAGGTGGGCAATGGCTGCTCCGCCTACCTGGCCAGCCACCGTAACCCGTTCGGGATCGCCGCCAAAGTTTGAGATAAAATGCTTAACAAACTGCAGTGCCAGGAAAATGTCCAGGAAGCCAGCATTGCCGGGAATCTCATCCGTTTTCGTTGACAGGAAACCAAAAGGACCGAGACGGTACTGCGGCGTGACTAGCACAATGTCCTTCTCGAGCAGATAATCCGGTGGCGCCTCCGAGTTGCTGCCCTCGTAGAGGTACTCGCCGTGAATGTACACCAGGACAGGAAGGCGGGCAGTCACATTTGGCGTGGTAATGGTCATGGTCAAGCAATCCTCGACGTCCAGCACATCGTCCAGTTTTCGGAGGGATTCCATTGACACCACCGAAGGACATCCGATCTTCTCTGCTGTGGCGTCCATCACATCCTCCCATGGCTCGATGGGACGTGGGGGCTGTATAAAGTTAATTAATAATGAGAATCAATATTTCTGATGAGGGCCATCCCATTAGGTTTATCAGTTCATATTAATTAACAGTTTATTTTTTATGGCATTCTTGTAAATGATATGCAAATACGATGACAACTGATAGACTCTCTGAAAACCATTCGCATTTCTCTCAAAATCACGTCTCTCAGACTGAATAAATTTAAAGTATAGAAATGTTTAAGTTTATTCAAATGTTTGCTGGTTTTCAGATTAGGAATGTCAGCAAGTATAAGGTTTTGCCGGTTGAATGTTTTAATATTTATACTCTTTATCGGTATTGCATTTTAGTCGGAAGCTTAAAACAATATGAAGGAGTCATTTCGACCCTATAAATCATATATATTCTTGATCAGAATTAAGAGGCAAGTCGATCTGGTTATGTCCGGCTGAAAAAATTTTGAAATTTTTCAATTAAGGGTTACATCAATTAAAATTGTCAAAAATGCGAAATTCATATTAAATTGGTATGCAAAAAAAAAAAAAAAAAAAAATACAAAAAAAAAAATAGAAATTTCCGATTAATTTATGATTTTTGCTAAGTTAGGGATTTTATTGTTTGTCAAAAAAATTGTCATTTCGCTTAATATTTAAATTAAATACTCATTTGGGATGTATAATTTCGCACAGGCTGCATGCAGAAATGAGTATGCAGATTATAAAACTGCATAGGAAAGCTTTCCGAATTGAATTTAGTACATTTTTGGCTTAGCTATGAGATTTTTTAAGCTTTAATTTATCGTAAAATTTGTCATATAAAAGTGTTGAAAATATTGATTCAAAGAATGCGAATATTTTAGTTAGTTAAGGGAAACTCTGTTATTTATAAATGTATATTCCAAATGTTTATAAATAAATATACGTTTTATTCCTATTTAAAACTTCAAGCGAACTTCATGGTTTTCAACATTTTTTTCTGCTTATAATTATTTCTAATGTCTCATACTACAATCTAATAATAATCTCCGTTTTCCCATAAATGATTGTAGACAACCTGCAGATGCGCACCTGCCCAAGAACTTAATAATTGCCGCCTACTACCAAATCCTCGATAGTATAGTGGTTAGTATCCCCGCCTGTCACGCGGGAGACCGGGGTTCAATTCCCCGTCGGGGAGATGTGAGGAACATTTATATTTTTTTTGCCTTTTTTTCTGTTCAGAATTAAGTCTCTGTTTTGGCTTATTTATTGCCTTTGGGGAAATTTACATAATTTTGAAAGTTTTTGTGGTATGAGAAACCAGACTCCAATAAAGTTGGACATTTCTATTTGAAATTCTTGGCGAATTGTTATGCTAACACATTTTTGCATAACGACGACCTCTATTTTTTTGCACCAAAAAACATAAAGAACTTATTATAATTCACTTGTTTCAACTCCATTGTTTGGCTTTAAATTCCATACTGAAATAGTTCACTAAAGCTCAGGATACTATTCTGGGTACCTTGAAGCGATTTAGTCCCGTGGGAGGCTCTGCATATCGGACATCCACAAATTGCAGCACTTCACGCATTGTCCAGGCCGTTTCAAGGATCTTTCCCTGGATGCTGCCCAGCTTGGGCAGTTCCACGATGGTGTCCTTCTCCTCATCGTACTGCCTGTTCCGGAACCGAGACTCCACCCCGTTGTGGAGGAGTATAAGTAATATCGTAAACACGAGCTGCTGCATCTTCTGTCGGGTCGGGATAATCGCGGATCGAACCAGCACTCTCTGTAGCGCACGGAAAGCAACTGATCTGTGGCCAGACGGAGCTAATAGATATTAGTCCGCCGTGTTGACCCGAAGTTTCACCCCATGACTGACCGAAATAGCCAAAACGGAGAGTTTGCAAAACGAAAACTGGCTAAAACAAAACGCGAAATCTACTGCAAATGATGCGGTTAGAGCCAAACACATATGCTAATAATTACACAGGAGAAAAGGGTAGAAAAATGTAAATATTTTAGTTTAAACAAGCTTACAACAAAATGTTATCTAGATTAATAATTATTAAAGATTGTGTAATAAGAAAATATAATTTATTGAATTGATTTCAGCATTTGACTCGTTATAAAATATATAAAATTAAACGTTTAGAAGGCATATCATAATTTTAATAATATATATGTATATTGCTACTTTTAACAATGAATAAAAAGGTTATTCCATTTTTCAAGCTGTTTCATTGAGTTTAAACTATTTTAAGAGATATATATAATATTATTTCTAATCAAATATTTTTGCTCAGTGCTAGAACAGATTTCGATGCTCCGATTTCGGTTGCTTGACTGCTCCGCTGATCATTGGTAAGTAAAAGGGAAAACTACAAGAGCAGAAGATTGGACACCCGAATCTTAGCCCGGTTTGTCTGCCAGTCCGTCATTAGTCGCTCAGATTAATGCGAATATTTACCGGCAAACATTAGCCATTAACTAAGTTTGTCTTTCTCACGTTGAGGATGACGATGGCGACGATGAAAGTGCGGGTAGCATCGAAGCTGGCAATAATAATCTCGAAAAAGCTGCGGGCATTGATTTAAATTTAAAATTTTACCTAATTGATTCCGCATATTCTCCTCGCTACTGGTATTCCTACTCCCGAGGTGTATGATCCATCATCGCGAGTGGCGGGAGAGAAAGCATAGGCAACACTTCTGTGCCAAAGAGATCAACGACTTTTACACATAATCGCACAAGATAATTCCATTATTTTTTGGCTATCTATACATTTAGACAAAATTGGGAAACCCCGCCAGGAAAGGAAACTAGAAGAAAGCGAACTTTTCCTTTTGTAGAATTCATTAACGAGCTCAAAAGAATTGTCTTTATTATTCTTGCAAATTATTTAATTTAATTTCCTGGGAATCTTGTGGGAAAGTTTAATTAAATTAAAATAATTTTAAGGTAATAAAATGAACAAAGAAGAAATTTTAGCATAAGATAGCATAAGAAAAATTTGTATTCGTTTCGCTTTACTATTTCCTAAAAAGAAAGAGCATCGATATTTTCTATCTAGAAAGATATATCTTACTCAGAAGGGATTATT